CATTCGTAGCGATGGAGTCTTGATCAACCGCACGCCTGACAAATAAGTTCTTGAATTCACATGCAAATGGCATTGTGCCACCAGAAAGAGGCGGGGGCCACCGGGGCCACCAATGTTAAATAACACTTGAAAGTGCAAAAATATGGCAATATGACAACTGCACAAGTCAAGGTTCCCTACTGCACAAAACCAGCCCGCAACCGTGAAAAGCATGCGGGACAAGCCTGATTCAATCGGCTTGAGCAGGCCGTGGAAGGCAGTCTTAGCGCGTGGCCCTCGCTTCGGCAAGCCAGAAAAGCGCAACTCATTCACAGGAAAAGCGACACTCCTGAAGTACAGCAATGCTGGCGCATGAACGACCACGAAGCCGGCGAGGTACCTACGTAAGACAACAGCGCGAGCTATCCAACAGATTTCCTTGCAGTCAAACTTGGAGCATTCCTCCACAAGCTGGGAGAGGCAAGAACAAGCCAAGATGTCCCACACTTCAAAGTATCTGTGCCCGCTCAAACATTTCCGGATGAACACTGACGTCGCATGCACAACAGGAAAAGGAGAGACAGTGCGATGAGGTATCCATCATGCTGCAAGCCGTCACGATGAATCGTCGCTTTCACACTCGCTTGCACTACAGTTTGCTACGTCGAGAAGCTGGAGTCAGGGTCATCACAGCACAACGTCGTCTGTGCAGAACCCCTCTCCGTCGGACTGGATTCCTCCATGCTCTGGTTGCACGAAGAATCAAGCATCAAACTCTGCAGGCTGTCGGTAGTTGGATTCCCTCCAGATTGAGCGCATAGTCAAACATAAAAGTCTGCATGCTGCTGAGTAGTTACGTTCTGTTTGAAAGTATAATCTAACAACAAGCGCTGCAGATTTCCTGGCAGTTTCATGCCCTCCATGTTGCGGATGAACGCATAGCCCAGCGTCGAACTTGGCACGCTGCCGGGTAGTTGGTTTTGGAACACATCGCCAAGCATCAACATCTGCAGGCTGCTGGGTTGTGGATTCGCTCCAGGCTCCGGTGGAACCCATAGCCAAGCATCAAACTTAGCAGGCTGCTAGGTAGTGGGATGCCCTCCAGTCACTGGTTGAATTCAACGCATATCCGGACGTCAAACTCTGCAGGCTGTTGGGTAGTTCGGGAAGTTGGATTCGTTCCAGGCTGCGGATGAACGCATATCCATTCATAAAACTCTGCAGGCTGCTTGGCAGTTAGATGCCCTCCAGGCTCTGGATGAACGCATAGCCCAACATCAAACTCTGCAGGCTGCTGGGTAGTTGGCACAGGTTTCTGAGTAGTTGCATTCGCTCAGGCTCCGGTGGAAAGCATAGCCCAGCATCAAACTCAGCAGGCTGCTCGGTAATGGGATGCCCTCCATGCACTGGTTGAGCGCATATCCACACGTCAAGCTCTGCAGGCTGCT